TTTTTTTTTTAGATTTATTTATTTATGCATACAGAACTGGGTATAGGTCAGAGGTGCAGGGGTGGTGAGAGGATTCACCAGAGATAGAATGGGGACAGGCAGACTGACGAAGTACACAGCTGAGGGGAACAGCGGGCGTGTCAGGAGAGGTCTGCTGTGCCATGTGGGTCACCTCAGGGCCGGGATGGAACTCGCACTAAACTGGCTGTGGCCAGCTTGCTGTGTTGCATCCTAATCTGTTGCACCACCAGGGAGGGCCTAGGGAGCTTATTATGTTTTTTTTTAATGAAGAGATGGCAGACCAGGATCCTCCCCACCTCTAGGTTGACAGGAGGTATACTAGGAGAGATTCAGACACCAGCATTTTTTTTTTAAGTTCCCCAGGTGATTGTGATAGCAACTAGGGCTGAGACATACCACTCTTGCAGACCCAAAGGCTCAGTGGTGGACAAAGAATAAAACCTACAATGATAAAGGAGTCCTAAAAGCTTAAAATAGGGAGAATTTTTATTGCAATCTTACAAGTGAATTGGTAGATGGGGGCTTAGGAACCTCTAATCTACCAAATAGACAACCCTAAATGAGGGAGATCAATATATTTTTTTCCTTTGCAAAGTTTTTGATACTCAAGTATCTAGTATAAAATTCTTACATATCTGACTCTATGATGGGTGTACTGGGAAGAATTAATGAAGTGTAATATAGTGTCTACTCTTACAGTCTGTATTCTAGCTGGAGAAACAAGACCATGGCAAACAGTATGAATAAAATTGTCAAATCTGAGGTAAACTTTACTGAACGTTTTATTGTACTCCAGGCACCGAATTGTCTAAGAAACAAATTTAATCCTTGTAACATCCATTGTGGAAGGTTCTGTTTTGATTCCTATTTCACACCCAAGAAATGGAGGGTCAGAATATGTAAAGCCTGGGTCAGAATAAGTGAGTACGTCCAGAAAGCTAGGAAAAAGCAGAGTGGAAGCCAGGTTTCAAAGCCAAAGCTGGTACCATATTGTGTAATTACCTGTCTCAGGTGGTAAGATTCCTACATAAGCTCTGTCCAAGTTTCCAAAAAGAGCCTGTTCAAAGCACATGTTCTACTAATTGAAAGAGAAAATCCTCAGGACGCTTGTGGTTGAGCAAAGAGCTGGGGTGTGGAAAGTGAGGCTAGCTCAGTGCCTTGAATGGATTAAATTATGAACTAGAGCAGAAGAGTGAGTATTGTGCCTTACCGGAAAACAGAAAAAGGATTTATTCATCAATAACCACCCTAACCATAAACCAGACTGAAGAAAGTAGCAGTGTCCAGCTGGCTGTGGAAATGAGGAGGGAAGTTCCCTTGATTCTGAGAACCTGTTGAGGGCTCTTCATCTTTGTGTCTTCACTGTCTAACATAGGCCTGGCACATGACTGTTACTTAACATTTGCTGAATGAAAATTGAGAACTGCTTTGTGGGTCACTTGGCATTCTTCACCTCCAACTCCGGCTAGAGAGCTACTACAGTCACCCAGCGTGGCATTACAGGGCTTAGATTGAGGCATAAACTGCAGAAGGAATGAGGAGAAATGGACAGTTGAGACAATTCAAAGCAATTAACTGGTAAGGCAAGACATTATGCAGTGCCAAAATGAGCTACACAGTAGCATTCTCCTGCACACTTAGCGGTGTCAGGTAACCATATATACTCCCAGAAACCAAACATGAAGAGCTCAGCTTATAGAACAGTCATGTGGTTTCTAGAGAGTGAAACTTAGCACAAAGAATTATCACCTGTGAGGAGAATGTTAAACCATACTACTTCTGCAGGATGTTCCAGTGAGATTGGAGAAAAGGGGAACTCTTGGAACCAGTTTAAGACAACTGTCCTGGCTGTTTTCTCAAACTTCCATTTCAAGAACTCAATTCTGGGAGTCAATTTAAGAGAGGTCTTTCAGTGATGAGTACAGAGCAAATTCAACAATCTCAGTGCCTATGTCAGAGCTGAAACCTATCTAATCCACTTCAATGGAGTTCAACATCTTCCAGGATGTCACCAGATGAACATGTAAATGCTGGTAATTCCAAACCCAAAGTAAAATTTGGTTGAGATTCTTGCATGACAGCAGAATTTTCAATTCTGCTCTTCCCCAAAATACTGAGAGATCAATAACCACCAAGTGGCTAAGGATACACTCTGACCTGGTTCTGGAGAGACCTGGAGCCCTAGAGTGACTGAGAAGTCTGCAATCTTTGCACTATACTTATAGCCAGGTTGAAAGCTCACAGTTAGTGTTACATCCTGAGTGAATCAGAGAGACCATGTTAGTCTATAAAAGTCTCCCAGTTAGAGTATCATAAATAGATGATATGGGCGTTGGGGGCCCACTTGGGCGGGCCTGGCCAGTTACTCTTTAACTGTAAATAGCCTCAAAAAGCTGAACTAGGGTGCTTCAGTTTATCCCAGAGTGTTATGCAAGTATTGTATGAAAAGGCTAAGGAACAGTGGCCTATAGCATTACCCCGTTTAGACTGTTTATTTTTAATAATTTTTGTGTACAAACTAAAAGCGTAAGACCTGATATAGCAGTGGTTCTTTTGAGTCATTATCCCTCTGGAAAATCTGATAAAGCCAACCCACTTCTCCCTGTTTTATATACAACTTCAGAGGGTTAGAGCATCCAGATTGTTGATTCTAGGATATCAGCTGAACCCAAATTGACTAATTTTAGAGGGGACCTATCTGCTTCCCCACATGCTTTCCTACTGCAGCTCTAAAAGACCAAGTATTATCAAAGAAACCTCTAAAAAGTTTTACACTTAACTTCCTTGAAATTTCCTGGGGAGTGTACAGAAACCACTATCACAGCTCCAAGTGGCAATCCCAAGGAGTACCAGCTGCCCAGGGAAGATGTGCTAATCACTGGCTCCAAGCACCACCTGCCTTTGTAGCACCAACTGCTGGTTGTACCAGCAGGTATGCTCACCCGCAGTTGTCTGCACACCTCCCTTTGGGTCTGGATGTATTTTTAATTCATGTTTATATCAGAAATCCCACACTAGAAACCTCGCAGTTTCTCTTCTCTAGTATAAGAACATGACCTTGTTGTGGGTATTAATCACTCCATAGTTGCCAATAATCACGGTAAGTCTGTACAATTAGGAAATGGGAGGAAAAAGGAATATTTACATCAACTAATTTTAGCAGCGTCTTTATTGCAACAAAGAAACTGTAATAAAATGCAACAAAACTAATAATGTTCCACTTTACATGATTTAAAGCCAGGTAGCTGAAAATGAGAAAACCCAAAAACTTACTGGAGTGAGACATGCAAATCCATTTATACAAATCAATGCTTAAAACAGCAGGCACTTTTATGTTCTAAAATTAAAGAACCGAACTCCAATTGTGCTGAATACAACATAAATTTGTATTTGGGTTATTTAAAAACAAACATACAAACACTACTTTTTCTTTCTCTGTGGGGGACACTTCTGAATTGATTACCTAGAGCTGTCTCTTGACGAAATAAGAAGAGCCAGCGTTTTGCATAAACATGTCTCCATATTTAGGCTGCAAGATGGAGAGGAGAGGCTGGGTGGGGTTGGGAAGATGGGAGTCACGGAGGTTTCCTTAATTCCTGTATGTCCACTGGGAATGGACCTTCACCTTATGTATCTTAGACAGCTGTGTCTCTTTTTCACTCTAAATAGCTGTAAGTTGGGCCCTTAAGCTTAAATACGCACTTTATACTCCAATCCCAAAACCCCAACCTAACAAGGAAGACACATTTAGTGTAATAATTTAAGGTTTCTAGTGTAATTAATTTCAGAATGTCATATACTAATTAGAAGTACTGCTTCATTAATAAGCATGCTTAGCATTTACTTTAGAATGGAAAAAATTAACCATTTCATGTTATTTTTTAAATGTTTCATAGGAATATATTAATAAATACTTTTTAAAAATTTGCCTTTTCTACATATCATTTAACTACCATGAGTCAGGAGATGGGATGGAGTCCAGTACCACGTGAACACTAACTGGCTATGTGGCTATGTGTATATTTCTTCCTCTCTATATGTAGGTTCCTCCTTAATAAATGAGAACATTAGATTATATCAAAGATATAATAGCTGAAAATTTTTATGATTCTATAATTAAAGAAATCTTATAGGAATCATTCTACCTAAAGAGAGAATACTATTACAGAGAGGTGGGATACACCTTCTTTAAGGAATAAAAGAAATAGCAAAGACAGCATCAATACTTCTATCTCATTCTTTCAAAAGGTAACATATGCACTGTGACTTCATCCACATGTATGAGGCTTTGGAAGCAAGCCAGGAATGGCACTGAAGGAAAAACCTTCATTCAAAATGAATCTTCAGACAACAGGAAGATACAGTTAATAATACTTTCTGCTTCTTTCAGAGGGAGAAGTTGCCAATAGTTATAAATAAGCATCATTCTTGACTATTGTTTGAGGTTCTTATGTAAAAATTAGTCCAATGTAAAAATTACCTATTATTCTCTTAACCCAATTTCATCTTCTATAAAAAGTTTCTTAAAAGTAGCCCACAACAACTTGCTTTAGAATCACCTAGAAAGTCTATCAGAATTGCAGGTCACTGGTTTCTCTCTCCTATCAACTGAATTCAAATTTCTAAGAGTAAGGATCAGACTCTGTGTTTCTTTTAAAATATCCCAGATGAATCTTAGATTTTGAGACCCACTGTTCAAAAATGTATAAGCAACTCTGCTTACTGATGGGTTGCTCAACTGCACACATTTACCAAGTCTGCAAAATTCCCATTTGATGTTTAACCTAGTGCTTTCTGGTTCTCACCGTAATTGTTGCTACTTTTGTCTCTTATAAGTTGTAATACCCTTAGACAGGATCCCAGTAGTTTTAGTAAGATTTCTACTCAATACTTAAATTAACTATGATGTTTTCCACTTTGATATTAAAAAAAATTTTTCAGACCAGCTATCTTCTGTAAGTAAATTCAGTCAGGTACAACCCTCCCACCCCAAAGTAGTCCTCCCTCCCCAGGACCCCCCTCTCTAAGAAGAATGGCAGTTATATGTAACTGGGAAAAGGAACAAAAGCATTTCTTCAGATAAGAGGAAAGGAGAATGCAAAAGGAAAAATACCTGTGAATTAAAGATTTCTTTAAAGTTTGTTTGGGCAAAATAAGAGATGTTATTTTGAAAGAACACCTTAATGGGCAAGATATTTCAAATGAGTAGCTGTCTAAAAGCCACTGTATATCACTTCTACTTTGCACAGAAGGACAGATCCTTGGAAGCCAACTATTCCACAGACAAAACCCATCTATATATATATATATATATATATATATATATATATATATATATGTAAGTCATGGGGGAAAATACTTTCTTGGGGAAGAAAAGTTACCCAAATCAATTTAATTTAACATTGCAAAAAAATATAAACAAATCTTGGCATGGGAAAATATCATAAACAAGAAAATCAATACATATACAGACAATAAAAGTGTGATACCTATTATGCAGTATAAATACACAAAGCGCAAAACCCAATCCCTTTCCCAAGGACAGGACCACAGGTCACCCTGCCATTGCTGGATTACTCCCACTTCCCATCTGGTCCTCAATGACAAGACCCACGTGCAGTGCAGTTACCATCCTTACTAAAGATGGCTATGCTTTCTATGGGAGAAATCTACTGTCCCTGTAGAAGACAGGGTGGAGAAAGGAAAAGAGCAAATTTTCTTAGAGTGATGTTTAAAAGCACTGGCAACAACTTTCTAATAAACACCAAAGCTTGTGATACAAAGGGTCATAGTGCTTTCTCTGCCACTAGCTCCCATGTGACCCATCTAGCACCCCAAAGCTTTAAGAAGGCATATCCCAATCAGCACCTAAAAGTCTATGAGCTCCCTTAATGTCAAGGGCTATGGCTAACTGGGGAAAAAGTCAGGGTCATTCAGGAACACTGAAAAAGACAGAGATCAGTTTATGTTAAAATAATGAGGTTGTCAGGAAACCTTTTGATTTGATGCTCACAAATTAACTTACGCTTAAATAATAAGGATAGAAAAAGGTTTAAAGTTGCAAAGTTTCCAAATTAAAAGAAAATTAAAAATTGAGTTAGGATTACAAAGCAACTCTAAGAACATTTCCTCCCCTATATAATGTTAGTCTGTGACTATAGCAAGAGAGTGATTTAATTCTGGTTTCCTTAACTAATATTCTAGGAGCTTAAATTTTACTTCCAAAACTTGTTTATGAGTATTTTTGGTCAGACTGTACTTCTACTCAGTTCTTGAGCAGACTCGCCCTGTCATTTTCCACACCCTGCTCTGCCCAGCCCACCATGATTCCCCTCGACCTCCCTAAGACTTGGAAACAATTAGTAAGGAAGTACCCAATGGAAACTGGCACCACTCAATTTTCTGAAGAATACAAGTGAATATGTACTTTTTCCTTTTCCTAAAGGAAAAGAAATTGCCTGCAAATATTTAAATTCTAATCATTTAATTAAAATTTTCTGCCTGTAATTATCAATATTATAAGACTAATTTAATCCATGCTACATATACAGTTACTTGCCTTTATGTGAAAGGAAAAATCCACTCTGTCATATCATTAAAGAGAACTATTTATACTAAATACAATTTAAATTGGCTAGAAACTTGTCAGAGCTTGAATGAAGTCAGTGTCTTTAGGAGGCCACTAAGTTATCCTGAAAATTCATTAATGACTGGTTAAGTTTAATAGTGATTAGTTCATAACATGCTGGATACACCCCAAGCAATGAAGCATAAGATATTCAATTACATTTAAGTGCTCTCAAATCTGTAACTAGTCAGAGATTCTGGAATTGAACCAAACCAATCACTAATATCATATCTGAATAAACTCAGAAGTATAATGTAAAAATACACTAAGTCCATGAGGTTTATAATGCTATTATAAGTGAAAATAAAGTAGTATGGATACATGGTGTTAATGTCTTATTTCTTTCAGTAGTTCTCATGGTATTGCTGGATCCCTTAGAAATGTATGTCATTCACTTTTGTGTATGTATGTTTAAGGTATAAGATTACTATCCACAAGCTATAGGTGCCTGCTGGCACCAAATAAACTTTCAGAAGTATATTTATGTGGTAGGTACCAAAATATGATGATGATGATCAATTCTATGTTCTCTGTTGATTATACCTTCTCATTTGGTTAAAAAGCCAGTGTATACCAGAGTTCTACACAGGTCAAAATTATATCACTTTCAGAGCAGCGATGCGTGATCCAAGGTTTTCTTGAAGGTAGTGCAAAAGATGCAGTTCATAATGTTCACCAGATTCAGGAACTCGTATGCTGTGTCTCTCCTGAGGATAAATCTTAACAATAACAAAAAAATCAAAACACAAAACAAACACTTAAAATACATTTCTTTCTAATGCATTCCAGAGATTTTCAACAGGACTTATAATATGGAGTACAACCTAGCCATAGATTCTAGGCTCCGCTCCTCTTTTTATAATTCTCTACATACCATTAGGTCTACAGAAAGATTTATCTGCAGATCAGTGGTTCTCCAAGTATAGCCTGCATATTTGTGGGGTCTTTAGTCTTTTTTTTTTTTTTAAGATTTTATTGGGGCCCTCTCTGGTGACATAAGGGGTTAAAGCACAGCATTATGAAGCGATCCACAACCACAGCCACTGCAGCACTAGTTCAAGCCCCAGCCAGGGAGATGACTCACATGGCACAGCAGACCTCCCCTGTCTCACTCACTGCTCCCCTCAGCAGTGTATTTCAGTCAATCTGCATGTTCTGCTCCCCACTCTATCTCTGGTGAATCCTCTCACCACCCTTGCACATTTAGCCTGTACCCCAGCTCTGTAGGCATAAATATATAAAATCTTTATGTATTTTAAAAGATTTATTTATTTATGCCTACAGAACTGGGGTGTAGGCTAGAGGTGCGGAGGTTAAAAGGATTCATCAGAAACAGAGTGGTCAACAGAACAGGCAGAGGTACTGAAATACACCACTGAGGGGAACAGCGGGCAGGTCAGGAGAGGCCTGCCACACCATGTGGGTCACCTCCCTGGCCGGGGATTGAACTTGTGTTGCAGTGGCTGCAATAGATTCATTGTGCTGCCCTTTAACCTGATGCACCACCAGGGAGGGCCAGAGCTGTCAACTTTTTAAGTGGTACTTCATTGTTTTTTCTCTTAAAGATTTATTTATTTATATATATCTATATATAACTTCATTGCTATCAAAAGTAGAACATTTCCATTGGTAAGTTATGCTTTGGGTTTAGGAATGCTACTACCATTAATTTACAGGCAAAAAAATTGAGTATTCCCAGACATAAAACTCAACCTACAATGCTGGCTGTGGCAGCACATATACCAAAACTTAACTTGACAAATCATACCAAATGAGAATGTGCTACTTCAAATAGCAGTGTTAAAGAAGAAAGGAAATTATCTTAAAATTAGGCTAAAACATCCCTGCCATTTCTAAACTACATACTATATGAGGTTAAATTTTCTTCATATATGTTAGATAGAACAAGATTTCACAACAGATTGCTTGTCTGTCGAAGTGAACATGAGGACTCAGGTGTCTTCCCTGTGAGCCCAGACATTAAGGAATTCACAAAAATGTAAAAAAAAGCAACTTTTTTCAGTAAACTTTTTGAAAAGAGGTCTTCCCCCCAAAATATAGTATGTATCGGTACATTATAGGTTATTACTGTTATTTTGAAGTAAATTTTTTCTTAGCTTTAATTTTTTAAAAAAAGTTTTATTTATTTATTCACATAGAACTGGGGAACAGGCCAGAGAAGCAGGGGTGGTGAAAGTGGGGTGGGAGCAGAACAGGAAGATTAACAAAGTACTGCTGAGGGGAGCAGCAGGCAGGTCAGGAGAGGTCTGCTGCGCCATGTGGATCTCCTCTGGGGCTGGGGATCGAACTCTCACTGAAGTGGCTGCAGCTCACTTGTAGTGCTGCATTTTAATCGCTGTGCCACCAGGGAGGGCCAGCTTTAATATTTTAAGTGAGAAATCTTGATAGGCACAACCACATAAACCAAGCTTTTAGGTCCCAAGACCTAAAATTCAGACCTATAATTCAGTTTTAGGTCTTGGGCCTAAAAGCTTGCAAATTGCTGCTATAGACAAGTATCTCATAATTTACCTATATAAATATCAACTGAAATATAAATAAGAACAAACTAATGGTTTTAATCTCTCTGAAGCACACAATCTGTATAAAAAATAGAATGGGGGAACAGTTATAGAACACAAGATAGCAGAAATAAAGAAGTCAGGTAATAGGACAGGCCACAGTTTTCAGCCTGAGTTCAACAAAACCTTAATTTCTCTCTAACTAGAGGCACAGTTAATCATGCCTATTATTTTAGTATTCTTAAACAGAGTGGCCAAGATTGAAAATGTGTCCTTTGTTTATTAAAGTTCAAAGAAACCAATCATTAATCACTACTTTAGCTGGTCAAAAAAGGTAAAATAACTCACCTGTAAATCATATGGCTTTCCAGCTCTCACTAAAAAACTTAGTAATATACTGGTGTGTGCAAAATGGACATTTTCATCCAAGAACCCATGTAAGAGTAGCAAACGATTTGGTCTGAAGAAATGGAAATAAGAGGATCAGACAAAATTCTAGTAGAGTACTTGGTAAACCACTTAACTTTTAAACAAAGTACATTGATTATGTTAACTTCTGTAAGTTTTAATATTAGAATAAGAATTCAACATCTTTTATATCAAATTTGCAATACCGTAATAGATGCTACATGTAATAAAAGATTTTTAAAAAGTGATTGATTATATGTTCAATTTCCTAATAACAGATTGGCACACATCAATCATTACAGTGTGTTCTTAGGAAAAGATCAATTATAGACATTATTTGTAAAACACAGTTAAGTAAAAAGATTTTTTTTCTACCTTGAAACAACTGTGAACTTAACTTCTTTCAGCACAAGCAATTGTTTCAAATCTAACTTGTGAAAAAATATATAGGAACTATTCTGTAATTCTATAATTTTTTAAGAAAACAGCCTTGCCAGTCTAGTAGTCCATAAAATATTATTCTTTGTTTTGCAATATTTGTAGTTTTCATTAATATTAAAGCCAATTTTTAAAAATACTACTTTAAATTTATGATCTTACTGTTAAAGCTTGAACTTACTCAGAGGGGAACTTTTCTGCTTGCATGGCCACAGATCCTAAGTAATAGCCCTGCTCATTCTGGTCAGGGTGACCCATATAACGTTCAGTGTAGCCTGTATCATAGAAGATCCACAGAGTGACCGGGGCCCCAGCAATAGCAACCTGCACAGGATAATGGCAGTCAAGTGTAGTAGTCCAGAAAAGAATGCCTAGCAATGAGAAATTCTAACTGTGAATTTACAGGTTAAAATTATTCTAAGGCTTCAGCTCCATGACTGGGCCATACAAGGCCTCAAGCAATTCAGAAAATCAAAGTGAAGAACCAAGGTCAAGAATTTGATACTTTATGAGTCAGCTTCACTCTCCACAGGCATGCTGCATGCCAAACTCTTAACCTAGGCGAGCTGAAATATAAACATGGACCCCTTTGTTAAAAAAGGAGAATGATTTAGAACATATGAATGCCTCAGTGTAATTCATTACTGTTACTAGGGGGAAAAAATGTGTGAGTGGTGTCAGTTTTAAGTAAGAAAACCTGTTATTTTTTTTTTCCCAGCCTCTGTTGGCAGTACAGAATTTATAACAATAAATGGTTTCAGAATTGTGTACCATAAGCACTGTACACTTACTTATCTCATTTGAAGGCTCCTACATACAGTTTTATAATTAAATATTCTAGTTATTTTCTCAATAGATACAAATCTATCAGTTTTCAGGGTTCATTTGTGGTTATAAGTAAAGACTACCAGAATATACAAAATGCTATTATTTTGTATTCTTCACTGTAAAATAAAGTTACTGAATACAAATAAAACTCCCTACCCATTATTCCCACTCCTTTAACAAGTTAGCAACTTTATATATTTTCTTTTAGTTTTTCTAAGAGACTGTTTACATAAGTGTAACATTCATATACATACATAATAAATGTAAATAAATAATTCAGTACTGAATTTACTTAGGACTTACCATGTGCTAGGCATTGTGCTTGGCTACTGAGGATACAATGATGCAAAGTAGGCAAGTCCCTGTCCTCAGTTTGCAGTCCAATAATTAAGGAAATAATTATATGTGTAAGTGTTCTGCTAATTATGACCATTCACCATAATATTTCGCGTATGTTTATAAACAGACAACAACTTGTCTTCAAGTTACGTGTGTTTTACAGATAGATATATAAGGATATCTCTTACATGAATTTCACAAGTTCAAAAGATATAACTATTATCTCATATGCCAACTATATAAACTTGCAGAAAATCAGCATTTTCTCATATTCTTAAATTTACAGAAAATTCCCTTAATACAAAATGAGTACAATAGGAAGTCACATACCCTGAAGATATCTGATCTCTGCATTAATGCCATGAGGGAAAGGTATCCTCCATAGGACCAGCCATGAATGCCCACACGATCTAAGTCAATGAAATCATACCGGGAAGCTAGATACTGGAGTCCTTCCACTTGATCATCAATTTCTATTTGACCCTGTCAAAAAAGGGGAAAATATTTTGATGTGAGTTTCATTAAGAGTGCTTAAAGATAAATGTTTTTACTAAAAATACCTGTAGTTTTTTTAGATTAGATTCTGTTGTCTGAAAAAAAAAGTTTAACTATTTTGAGATAAAGGGCTATTGCTTCTGTTGCTAGCCTGTCCTAGAGTTTAGTTATCCCTTTGTCATAAAGCTCTTTCCTGTTGTGATCCAAACTGCCCCTTGACACATGGGTATTTCCCATTTTCATTTGTTCTGTTGTCTGCTAAGAGGCCAGCATCTTCCTTGTAACAAGCCTTCCTATACCCAAAGACAAAAAAATTAAACCCCTTAAGTGGCTGACTAATTTTACTTCTCCTTTTTAAAACAGTGCAGTAAAGCAAAAAGAATTATCTTAGGCTTTATCCTGTTTTCTCATCATTTACCTCTAGGAACTGAATATGCTATTTCTTGTAAGTCCTAACTCCTACCACCACCACCCTATCAATATTACTAGTCCTGCCAGTGCACTCAATCTCACTTCACTGAGCTTAAACAAAAATAAAAACAACAAAAACTTACATGAGAATACAACATAAGGTCAAAGAACTGGCTGTGGGAGAAAATCCCCATGTCTTACTCAGCATGTCCAATACACTGGCAAACACAGTAACTGCCTTACTGTGTAAAAGGAACATCGGATTCTCATCATTTCCCAAAGCAGCAGAAAGGACATAGGGCATCTCTAAAAGGTAGCATTTTAAAGCTTCCTGTAGAGAGAAAGAGGCTTGTCACAAGGAAGGTACTACCCAGTTGGTTTCTCTCTTCACAGAGGACAGAACAAATCTCAATCATTCCTCTCAATAGTACAGAGGATGCTGGAATCTAAATGGTGTGACCTGGCTAAGCTGGACACAGAAAATAAAAAGATATGGTATTTCTATGTAAAGGTCGTTCTAGCTCAGTTCCACGAAGTTACACATAGGTAGACATGAATAGTAAGTTGAATATTTCCTCCCACCCCTAATGGCAATCTCTTCTCTCTCTCTCTCTCTCTCTCTCTCTCATTGGCTCTCTCTCACAACTAATAGCTCCTTGCCCCAACTCTCCCTCCTGGGATTTCACCAAACAGTGCACCAAAATATGTAAATGTCTTTAAAAGAAAAATGCTTGTATGTTCACACACCATTTTATATTTAAAGGCGCCTTCAAATTTAAGCCCTCGGTGACAGGATCCCCTGTTGTCTATCACTACAACCACATAGCCCAGAGAGGCTAGAGTATTCAAGCGGAAATATTTGACTCCTTTAAAACGATTATTCACCAACTGCACCTGAAAAGAAATACAACTTCAGTGAAACTTATTATGTAGTAACACACAAAAGCAAAAAGAAGGTAGGATACTGTGAAAAGCAGAAAGCTTATTTTTTTCAATCATTCTGCTTTAAAAGTGAAATTTTATTTTCTTGTGGTAATAGTATTTAACATGAGGTCCACTCTCAACAAAGTTTAGGTGTACAATACAGTATACTAACTATTTAACAATGTTCTACTATAGGTCTATAGTATTTATCTTGCATAATTGGGACATAACTTATGCCCATTGATAAGCAACTTCATTTTCTCCTCCCTAATTTATTTTTAAATTGACTTAGATCTTTTCATGTTTATGTTGCTTCTTTTTTTTCTTAACTTTACATACAAGGTTTGTGGCAATTATTGAACAGTTATAGACTTTCTAACACAACTTTCTGAAGAAATGCCTTATTGTTTTCCATAGTGGCTACATATCATTTGGCATTCTCACTAGCGATACACCAGACTTTTGATTTCTCCACATTTTTGCCAACATTTCTTATTCCATTCCCCTCTTTTTTGTTTTGATAATAGCCATCCAAATGGCTATGAAATGTTTTATATCTTATATATGTTATACTGTGGTGTGACTTGCATTTCCCTAATGGTTAATAACATTGAGTATCTTCTTATGTGGTTTTGATTTTTAAAATTTAATTACTGATATAAAGAATCTTTTAGTCTGAAAACTAATTAGTTCATATAGTGTTTTTCACATATCTCATATATTCCTTCACTGATAAGGAGAAATACTCTCTTTACTTAGCCTTTTTTTATTTTATTATTTATTTTTGTGTAGAAGAACTGAGGTATAGGTCAGAAGTGTGGGGTGAGGATTCAATAGAGACAGAAACAGAGTAAGGAGCTTAATAGGCATATCTACTGAAATATACTGTTGAGGCAAGCAATGGGCAAGACAGGAGAGGTCTGCTGCATAATGTGGGTTAGCTTTCTGGCAGGGAATCAAACTCACGCCATCATAGTGATAGTGCTGAGACCTAGCACCTAGAGGCCCTTACTTTGCTTTAATATCAAAATAATAAAACATGTACAACTTCTGAGAATGTCTTATACTTTTTCTCTTCAATTTCTTTATATTTTTCTGTTTTAATTTTACAAAAATTTGGCTCCAAGTTTCTAAACGAAGCATCATTTAACTCTTTCATGCTTTGTGTGTAGATGACTAGTATAACTGAGTCATGTTTTGTTTGTAGAACACACTTAACAAAGTAGTTAACTAAATAAACAATTTTCATCCTAAGATAGCATGATATACAGTTATCTTATTTTTTTGAGGACTCAGGCTCTAGATACTAAATAACTGGATATAATACAAATAATATCTACTACATATTATAGAATCGCTGTAATTATATTCCAATTTTTTCAAGGCTCAATGTAAGGTATATAATAATAAGATTATTATAAAATAATTATAAAAATTACCAGTTAATCAAAAACACTTTACACTCAGATAGTCAACTTACTTAATAATACTCATATATTATTACAACTTACTTAATAATACTCATATCCAGAGAAAGGAAAGTCAAGTAAACTTCATACAGTGATGAACAGTAGGATAGAAATTGGCCTAAGTAGCTGATAAAGTAGATGAAGAGGGGGAATTTATTGGACTATCAAGACGTTCTGAAAATTTGTTAAGATTTTATTTGCCAAGACATTTAATTACCTGATTTCATTTCCCCAAACAATTCCCTACATAGACACCTGATCTGAATATTCATTCCCCATGAAAGATCCAGTCCTTACTGTAATTTAATAAATTGATTTAGAAATTAGTCATCTAACTGAAAAAACGCTCATTATCACTTATCACCAGGAAATACAAAAGCAAAGCCACTATGAGATACCATCTCACTCCTGTGAGAATGGCCCACATCAAAAGAGACCAGAAACACCAAGTGGTAGTGAGGATGTAGAGAAAAGGGAACCCTTTTACGCCACTAACAGGGCTAGACTGATCCAGCCTCCATGGAAAACACTACGGCCATTTCTCAAAATATTAAAAATAGATCTAACATATGATCCATCAATTCCATTCAGGCATATACCTAAAGAATGCAAAAACACTAATTTGAAGATATACTCCTACGTTCATTGTAGCACATTTACAATAGCCAAGTTATGGGAACAACTTAAGTGGGGGACAGATGAGTGAATTAGGAAGATGTGGTGTATATATATACACATACACACACAATGGAATACTAATTAGCTATAAAAAAGATGAACTTGGCATTTGCAACAACGTGGGTGGAAACGGAGGGGGTAATGCTAAGTGAGATAATTCAGAAAGAGAAAGACAAATACCTGATGATCTTACTTACATGTGGAAAATAGAGAAACAAAACAAAGGGTCAGACAGAATTTTACCAGTAACAAACCTTAGAAACCTCACTATAAAGTTGAGGTTACCAGAAGGAGAGGCGTGAAGGTGGAGAGCAGGGTGTAGAAGGGGTCCAAGGGACTATGGTGAAGGATTATGGGTACCTTGGTGGTAGGTGTGGTGTGGTAACATGCATCTGAAGAGGTGTGATCCTATACCTCTGAGTCATAGTGTTGTAAACCAATGTTACCTCAATTAAAAAAAAAATTTAAGTGTTAAAAGTTTAATGAAATCTACTAACCCACTCTAACCCATTCTACCACATTCAGTGAAAATATCCTGTAAAAGGGGGAAGAAAAAAAAAGACATATTCAAATTTAAAAAAACAAAACAAAACCCAATTTCCTGAACCCCTAAGCTGAATAATCAGAACATAAACAATAGTCAGTTAACAGCGGAATGCCCAACTAGACTGTAATTTTAAACAACTGACTAGACATTTAAGAAACAAATCACCTACAGTATGTATATTCCTATGTATGAATATAAACATGCCCACCTGAGGACCACCATATATGAACAGCACAGTGGGATATTTCTTTCCGGGTTGTAGATCATGAGGCTTGTACAGCATCCCATACAATGTGAATCCAGTAGTACTTTCAAAAGAGAAAATTTCTGGAGGGGTATAGTCAGGAAGAGGACCTGCGTGAAGATTACATACAGAATCTGTAAAAGGAATTCCTACAGATCTTAGTCTTATCTAGATTTGAAGACTAAAGAGCTCTACATCCTGAGTGCAAGGAAGAAGATAAGCTTATAAGCCCAGACACAAATAATTGACCACTCATTTGCCTTTCAGGTGACAAACAAGAAATTAAAGAAAATCTAAGGGATATGTCAGATTACCTATTTCAGGAGCAGACACATATTACTAGTACGTATTTACATGCATAAGTGTACAAATACTTTGTGTTCAGTTCAATATACCCTACTGATGTTTAAGCCATGTATTTGATTAGACACTGGAAGCACAAATTTAACTTAGTTAACTTGTTCATGTTATGTGTTCAATAAATACTTGTTTCTGATCATTAGAGAATTAGCCTCATCAGAACCAGAAAAAAAGAAAGTCATGGTCAGTCACTGGTTTACCACAGTTATATGGACCCTTTCTAAGTGAGTATACTCAATTTTATAGTTTTGTTGTTTTTTGGTGTGCCTTAAGCAATCTATTTTTAAGCAGTAGGCTTTAAAGACAATTTCTGATCCTTAAAATAGTTATTTATGATACAATTAGTAGTGATCAACTTTTCCAAGCTTAACTGTATGGCAACAGATAAACTTTCATTTATTTCTTAAAATTCTGTGTGCAAAGGGACTATTTTCAAGAATATAGATGTTCTGTAAATACCACCTGGTAGATTCCTAACCAACTGAGAATATTCTTTGTTGTACAGTACTCCATCTTTCAGCAAGCAAAAAATTAAATATGAATAAAGACACAATCCAGATATTAGGACACAATTAAAAATTTGCTTTAAATATTTTTTTGGAGAGGAGATACCACATTTCTACTCAATTAAGAGAAACATTTTCATAGTTCAGAGAGCTTTCACACTTATCATGCCATGAATTCCTAGGGATGGGTCTAGCAGCTCAGGCTCCTTTCCGTGGTCTTCACAAAGTGTGCCTCTCTGAGTGGGGCAGGCTGGAGCTTCAGCGGAACCTAACGACCTTTCTCTTTGGCTTCCTTTTCTTTCCTGTTCAATTTCTTTCATTCATTTCAGGACATTATCTAGGTCAGTTCTTAAGTGCTTAACATTCTCAATATGAACATTAATTCTCTTGGCAAGAATCTTGTCCTTGTTTGTTACAATGCCAACTATATGCTGGGTAGCATTATCAACTCCCAGTTTTGCCATTTTGGGCACATTCTTTTTGAACAGTACTCATCCTCTTATTGCCTACAATACCACCTTTCTTGTATTAGATTCACATGTATGTGACCAAAAGAGCAACTTTGTATTTTCTAAAAGGCCTAGACTACAAATAGTGAGCACCTCTCCTCTTTCCCTCTGTGTACATCATTTTTGGAAACTCACTGGAAGGTGGCAGTTCTGGCCAAATAGATGACTTTACAGTATAAGCAGAGATCATCATGATATTGTAAATTCTTATGTGGACATTAAAACATACATACATCCTCTGTGGTCTTGCATGAATACCTTAAATCCTTTAGCAGATATTTAGAGTGAAAATACTTAACAAGCAAAAGAATTGGGAGATAAAGTAGATTAAAAGATACATAAAATTACTCCACTAAGACATCAAGCAATTCAAAAATAGATAATTCATAGTGCTCTTCAATCCCACAAAGAACAGTGTACTATCTTATTAAGATGGCCATTGTAAGTGCTTAAAAGTTTAGTAAAGTTATTCCCTAAAACTGCAACTTCCCTGTTCAAAAGGTTTTACTAGTTTAGTATAAATTACCTTAATTATCTGATTATCTGAGAAATGATCTAAAAGTGTGAATAAATCATTTCCTAAGCTGTGATCTTGATTATTTTCAAACAGTCCCAGCATATTTGCTCCTGACTAGAGTACAGGGTAACCCATCTTATTCTGCTGCTAGTAAAATAAAAGGTATGAAAATCAATCAAAAACCCAGCAGCTCAGGAACAGGCAGTGGTAAGAGAAAGTAAGACTCTGCCCAGGAATCAAGAATGCATGCTGAGTGCACTAATCTACTCTACCTGAGATCAAGGACCAAGGAAATGAGTACCTGCTGAATCCAAGATGGTGGCCCAAAATTCCTTTGTTTTGCAGGTTGGGTCATCTTCAGGACTTGTAAGCTTATAAAGGGACACACAGTGTGGATTCTTCTGGTTACTATACTTACTTATAAAGAAGTCACAATACTAGAAAAAGGAAAAGATAATTATTTTCTAGGGAAAAAAGTGAAAAAGGTTATCTGGTGCTACATCTCTATTAATGCTACAGCAAGAACATGAGAGTTTTACCTCTTGTAAATATATAATGGTAAAGTTAAAGCTCAGTTTTTCAAAGCTTTTCATAAAGAGAACTAGACTTCTGCAGATCAACTTCACCAATTTTTACGATAGGGAAAAGAAATCTTTCATGATCACAAGACTTTTTTCATGACAAGAAATCTTTTTCAAGCAGGACTTAATACCTGGCTGATGCAGCATGAGTGGGAATAGCCACGGTCAGTCAGCCTTGTCACTTCTCCAGGATTTACATAACTAACCACATACAGGTGATGTTCTAAAGGAGAGTCTTTGGTGCCTTCAAAATATACCAATTTTCTGACTTCATCAACTTGGATCTGTCAAAATAGCCCCCCAAAAATCAGTTCTTGTAAGGCCATAATTCAACAAACAATTTTATTCAATATCATCTGTCACCCTTAGATTTGTGCCTCTTTTAAAAGCCATGTTACTAAAACTGAGTTGGTTTTGTTTAAAACTTAAAGGTTAAGAATAGACCCCACTTGGAAGGAAAAGTGAACACCTGAGTTGCATGCTGTTAGTTTCCTCTTAAAATGTGTGCTTTTCTTAAAACGCCATTATTAAAATAACCTGTTTCAGGGAAAAACTGTATAGTTTATATACTGTTTTGTGCCTTTTTAAAAAAGACCAATCATTCATGAATACTTAAAAGAGTAATTTTAATTTCGTATAATTTTCAGTGCAGTTTATCTTAGACAGTACTTTTTAAAAAATCTTTTTACAAACTTACAAAAGTATTTTATTCATTGGTTGGGAAATAACTGATCTCAATTACAAGTTTCAATACTAGTACAGCTCATAAACAGTATGGAGAAGATTTTTTAAGTCTTCATTCAGAACTGAAAAAAATACCTGTAAGTAAACTCACAGCTGAATTCACTTGGCATTCTTCCTAAATTACAGTAATGTTATCTTTTTTAAAAAAATATTTTATCAACCTATTCAAACAATGTCTAATTCAAAGTTTTTTTTTATACAGCAGAGAAAATACTATAAGCAATTATTTTTAAATGCCATATTTTCTCCAGAAAGCCTGTTCTGCATCATTAAACATATTTTAGCATGCCAGGATACAGAAATAAACACAGCTGAGATTAACTAGGGCCAGATGACATATATAGGAAGGACACAAGTAATGGGAAACAAACATTCATGAGGCTTCACAGGTATGTATTAATCTCTGAAAAGGTTAGGATTGATTCTGCTCCTGACTTAGCAACTGGGAGTTAAGTATTTCAAAATTTAAGAAACAACTGGTTAATTCCTCAGTCCTGTCTATAATGGTTTTTTTTGTTTCATGTAACTAACTGCTTGATCCAACAGGAATATCAAAACCACCTAAGGAGCTTATTAAATAGTTTGCTGGGCCCAACTATAGAATTTCTGGGTCATACCTGAGAATCTGCATTTCTAGAGGGTTATCAGGTGATGCTGATACTTTGTTATTGGTTGAGGGACAACACTGGGCTTAAAATTGTTAAAGCTTCATTCAGTTACCACGTTTAGATTATCTTTTGGTGGTACAAGGTCAGTGACAATTATATCCAAGGTCCCTGCCATAGCAATTTATAATAAATAAACATTTCATTAATTCAGATCACCAAAATAGCTTTCACTACATATTTGGTTTTCATCCAGTACTGGCTCACAGCTTTCTAAAGTCTTGGAATTTCCTAAGTGCAGTAAGTGATAAAGGTATTTCTGCTATATTAATGTCAGCAACTTTTGAAAACACCCAGGGAAGGTGCCTGGTTACCAGGGAAAACAACTTGAATAGAGAGTTGGATCATCCAGTCCAAGTCAACTGAACTCCTCAGAGGTAAGAAGAGGAGCTGGAGACTGAGTTCAACTGCAAATGGCTAGTGATTTAATGAACTATGCCTATGTGATGAAGACTCCATAAAAGCCCAAAAAGGAAAGGTTCTGCAGAGTGAACATGTAAAATTCATGTAACTATGGTGAAAGCTTGTGGGCAGGATGGCTCCTTTCCTCCTTATCTGGCCCTATAAATTTCTTATATCTTCTTGTTGACTCATATCCTTTGTTTTCTTTTTTTATTTTTTAAAGATTTCTTTATTTATGCATACAGAACTCAGGTGTAGGCCAGATGTTTAGGGGCAGTGAGAGAATTCACCAGAGACAGAATGGAGAGCAGAACAGGCAAATTCACTGAAATACACTGCTGAGGGGAGCAGCGGGTGAGATAGCAGAGGGCTGCTGCGCCATGTGGGTCGCCTCTGTGGCTGGGGATTGAACTTGTGCTGCAGCTGCGGCTAGCTTTGCAGTGAGTGCTTTAACCTGTTGCGCCACCAGGGAGGGCCCCCCCCTTTAGTATACTTTGTAACAAATAGGTGATCTAGTGAATAAATCCCTTTCTTAATTTCTGTATTCCATTCCAGCAAATTACTCAAACCAGAGATGTGTGTCACAGAAATCTCTGACTTATAACCAGTTGATCAGAAGCATAGATAATAAACTAGTCCTGCAATAGGCACCTGAAGTTTGCAGGAAATGATGAGAACCTCCCATTGTGGCCAACTGGTCTGAAGCATGAGTGACCAAGTGGGGCTTACAGTAGGCCTCTGAAGTGAAGGTTGATCTAAGGAGACAAAATTATAAACTAACAGAATCTGGTATTATCTTCAAGTAGATAGTGTCAAAACGAATTAATTCTCAGACACCCTGCTGGTTTCGGAGAATGGCTTTATTGGTATAAGGAGATCTATCCATATCACACTGAAAACTGGATCTCGAGCCCTCCCTGGTGACACAAAGGGTTAAAATTCAGCACCATGAAGCTATCTGCAGCCACTGCAGCACAAGTTTGATTCCTGGCCAGGAAGGTGACCCACATTGTGTGACAGACCTCTCTTGTCTCACCCACTGCTCCCCTCAGCAGAGAACTTCAGTAGATCTGCCTATTCTGCTTCCGACTGTCTCTGGTGAATCCTCTCACTGGCCCCGCATCGCTGGCTTGTACTACAGTTCTGTATGCATAAACAAATAAATCTTCAAAAAAGAAAACTGGATCTCAGAGACACTAAAATGCAGTCTTAGAACATTGAAAAATACACTTGGATACATAACCAGAAGGCCATGTGAGGCTCTCAAGGGAAATTAACTTTAAAGACTGCCTATTATAATTATATTCTCAAAATTTTACCAACAAAAAACAAAAAATCTAGGCTCTGGATCTTCATTCTTTCTCCTTAATCACCTTGGGGACTATAAGTGACTTTTATACTAGTTACTATAATCCATCAATAATGTCTTCGTCAATTTGAGGAAATCACAGGCCTTCATTAAACCCTGGTGGCATACTCAATTGTATGTGTCACACATATAAAAGACAGAGTTCTTAGAGATCTCATGAAACTGACCTAACTGAAAGTTAAAATAAATACATGGTACTATGAAAAGCAGAAAAAAAATTAGAATTCATTGGACTGCTACAGAAAGCCACATGCTAAAAACAAGACTGAGGGTGGATTTCTTCACCTTCTATATCAATCTATGCTCTGTATAAATGACCACCACTCTAAAGGTGGGGGATAAAATTAAATTTACAGGTGAATGAAAAGGAATCCCTACATCAAAGACAGTAAATAAATTTCTAAAATAGTGTGGACATGAGTAGTCTATAAGAGATTTAAAAATAATTTTTTAATATTATAAGTAATACTTTATTTAAAAGTCATATATACACAAAGAATCTAAACAAACAATATTTTAAAGAGTATCTGACTGTTATATCCATCTTATTAATGTATATTTTTACATGTGTTACTTTGTACTCTCTGAGACTAACTCAACCTCTGCCCTTTTTAAAAAATAACAGTTTATTTGTACATTATTTTGTGCATTTTTAAAAATAATTTTTAAGCTGTATTCTAACAACTTTTGCTAGACTCAAAAATATGGACTAGTCCTTATTAAGAAGCAATAATATATTAAAAACAGTGAACTTTATTAGCCAGAACACATCTAATATTAGAGTTATAAAACAGATTAAAAATTTAATTTAGGCCCTCCCTGGTGGCGCAGCGGGTTAAAGCACAGCACTGAGAAGCTAAAGCCACTTCCGCATGAGTTCGAATCCCGCCTGCCCCGGAGGAGACCACATGGCGTGGCAGACCTCTCCTGACCCGCCCGCTGCTCCCCTCAGCAGTGTACTTCGTAGATCTGCCTGTTCTGCTCCCCACTCTGTCTCTGGTGAAGCCTCTCACCGCCCCTGAGCCTCTGGCCTGTACCCCAGTTCTGTATGTACAAATAAATAAATCTTAAAAAAAAAAAAAAAATTTAATTTAAACTGATTCTTCCTTTCCAATAACTTGTGTTCTTTCAGGCCCTCAGTATTTTCAAAACACTGCTGATTTTTAGTAGTGCACAATACACCACAGATTTTGAGCAAATATAGGAGTAGAAAGAAAGAACATACATTGGATCCATGCCGGCCAAGTACTTCCCATTCACCACTGGTAATTGCTATCTCTTCTTTGATAGGACACTTGAAATCACCTAAAGAAAAATAGTTATAACTTAGCACTTTATGCCAGATTGTAATCAAATGAAACAATGAATAATAATATTCTAAACTCCCTTTTTAAAAGAGATGTATTTATTTATGCATACAAGAACTAGGGTACAGGCCAGAGGTTTGGGGGGAGGGGTGAGAGGATTTACCAGAGACAAGAGTAGACAGATCAGGCAGATCGACTGAAATACACTGCCAAGGGGAGCAGCTGGCGAGACAGGAGAGGTCTGTCACACTATGTAGGTCACCTCCCTGGCCAGAAATCGAACTCGTGCAGCAGTGGCTGCAGACAGCTCCATAGTGCTGTACTTTAAACCACTGTGCCACCAGGGAGGGCCCAGCATTCTAAACTTTTTTTTCAAAAAGGTACATTAAAAAATTCAAGCTATGTTTGGGTTAATAAGAATGTCTGAAACT